GGGGGGGGATTTATTTTGAATTTATTTTATTGTTCTGGAAATTTTTGGGGGGATTTTTTTGGGTTCTTTTGGAATTTTTATTTTTTTGGGGGGGGTGGGGCTAGGAATTTTTTTGGAATTTGTTTTTTATCTTTATTTTTTTTTGTATTTCCCAGATTTTTTTGGGTGCGGCCCAAAAGGCAGATCCGAGGTCGGAATTTTTTTCCTTGGGAAAAATCACATTGGAGCAAAGATTGGGAAGCTGAGGAGAATTCCGGACTCCTGGGGGCTTCCAGCATGGAAAATTCCCTGGAAAACTCCCGGTGGATCAAGGATAAAGCGATTTTTTTGGGATTTTGGAGCATCCTGGAGGGCTCCACATCCAAATTTTCCCTGGAAAACTCAAGGTTTTGTGGGACACCCTTGGAGCAGAATTCCCATTAAAGACTGGTTCTAACCCCGAGTTGTTTTTCCTTGGAAAAAGTTCAGGAATTCTCCAGGGATTTGGGAATTCCGAGATCAGGATTTTCCCGGAAAAATCTCCAAAATCCCGGGATTTGGGAATGCTGAGAAAAATCCAAATTTTCCACTCTTTTCTTGCCCTGATCCTGGAAAACTTCCGTTCCACTTCTGGGAATTCTGAGGGATCCCTGGGGTGGAACCAGGTGACTTTTCCCACCTGGGCTGCAGAATTCCTTGGAATAAACGGGATTTTTCCGGATTCCATGGGATTTTTCCAGGCAAAACTGAGGTTGAACACCCAAACCCGGAGCGCAGAGTTCCCTCCAAACCTGGAATTGCTCCCTGTGGGAATTTTTAAGCTGAAATTCCTTCATTTTTCCCTTTAATTCCCTCATTTTTCCCTCTGTTTTAATCCCGAAATTTGGTTCCAAGCTCTGCTTTGGTGGGATTCAACGCCGGAGCCTCAAAATGAGTCAAAACGGGGCTGTGGGCACAAAAAATTCTCAGGTTTTTGGGTGGAAAAAGGGGAAAATCAGGGGAAAATCAGGAACTGGGGGCGTGGCCTAATGATGTAGGCGTGGCTACGGTTGCTATGGAGACGTCATGACGTTTGGGCGCGGTCGTGAGGGCGGAAATTGCGCACTGGGGGCGTGGCCATTGCGATGGCGGGAATATCCGCCCCCAATAAAGAGGCGTGGTTTGCGCTGGGGGCGTGGCCAATCGCAATGGCGGGAAGTGCGTCCGTCACGTGAAGGGGCGTGGCCTGTGGGCGCGGCGGGAAGGGGCGTGGCCATAGCTGGGC